GGGAAAGAGGAGATGATGAAAGCCCATCAATGGTGGAGCACCAGAGATCGTCAATGCCAACGGTGACAACTTTATCGCAATTTGGAGTAGATTGGTGGCCGTAGCTTCATTCGGATGCACTTGAGAATGACCAGAGGGATACAGCTTACTGCCGTGATGGCAAATACCTTCCAAGCAAAGTTCCACGTGAGGAGAAAGGCTTGATCTGTTAAATCAAGAGACAACATCATAAGTTTCAATGACCAATGCAGAAAAGGGTTAGCGAAAACGCGTAACCTACCGAAGTAAGATTTGAAAACAACCAGTGCGATCACATAGATGGCAAGGCTGGCAAGTTCGGCAAGAATCATGACGAAGTGCCATGTACGGATAGTCAGCGCCACCATGAGGAGCTCGGTAAGGAGGACTGAGGTGAAGGTGATAGAGACTACGTGAATGAAGTCAGAGTCGAAAAGCAGAAGTGCGCCGTACATTATTACACCACCTGCAGAAACGATATCAAAAAATATCATATTTGTAAGGAGCCGACAACCACTTAAAGAGCAGTGTACCGTGAATTTTCTGCTTCTATAATTTCCCAATTCATGATTCAACAAAACGACAGACACAAAACTAGGTATCTGACTCAATTCAGAAGTATCTTAAAGGACCGCAAAATACTCCCCTAATAGGCAAGAAATGGATAAAAAAACATTAAGATATAACCTCATTGATCCAAATGCTGCCCGAATAGTGTTGCTAAGCGAGGGTCTTGCTAATTACTAAGTTGAGAAGAAGTGAAGCCAGCCGGGGGCCAGAAAATGCCAAGCACAAATGGTAATCTTGAGCTTAAAAGAGAGTGCAGAAAATGCCATAAGGAGTACAATAAGGTCTCGAAACAGAACACAATCCTTTTAGGTGACAAAAGTGTTCCCACTTTCAGGTTCGTTAAAATGCTTTAATGAATTGTTCGGCGAACAGGAGCTACATGTAGATACCGTTTCTAAACCTACTAACACCAACCATTCAAGACACAAGCCTATCAGAATTCAAGAACTCATCATTTCTTGCGATTGCTATTTCCTTTAACTTGAAAACAAAAGCGACCCGTTGCCAGTAAAGAAAATGATTTGCTCACAATGGCAGTAAATCAGTAAACCAAAAAGACGCTATGCAATAGGCAAAAACTCCGTGAATCTACCGATGGGAACAGGGTCGATGGCTTCACAAAATCATATCAAATGGAATTTGCATGCTACAAAATAAGGGAAACCGAGCAGCAACTTTCCAGTAAAGGACTCATAGCTAATTAAAATGAATAAGGTTGACTCCTTCAGAGAATACTAAACACAAAATTGGCGAGTGAATTAAACGCGAAAACAAACCCTGATATATGCTGATAACGATCCAGATGAAGAATGTCTTGACGGTGAGTTCACGGCCCTTTGTAAGGTCCTTATAAAGTTCAGGATAGGTCATGGCCACAGAATCGGCCACATCCTTGTCCAACACCAATGAGAAGACTGGAAACATGGTAAAAATGGTCGCATAGCCCACCATCAGAAAGCCTGGGAAGAGAGCCACTGAGATGATGTAGAAGATTGCCGAAAAAATTATCTGCATAACTGTGATTATGCAACCTACGAGGAAAAAAGTAAACAAGGTAAGCAAATTAGTAAAATGTAGTTAAAGCGAAATGCTCTGATCAGGCAAATGTATGCTACAAATGAGGGCCTGACTACACAATCCAGCACAAATTCTTTCAGAAAATACAAATCCTATCCCCGTTTTAACATACTTACTTGGTTTTTACAATCTCACAACATGGGGGATGATTGCCACATTCGAAAATTCTTATTTTCGACTAGGAAACATGAAAAAATATCATGGAGGATCTCGAGAGTCATAAATCGAAATATCGGGAATATCACCTTCCAGAGTGAGTGAGAGTAAACTCTGCCATTGAATACCGGCAGTTCCGTGAAGAGGGTTGTTAAGCAGGTAACAGTGATCAAACAGCCAAAAAATCAGCACTTATCAATCGCGCCATTTCGCTCAGCACAGCCTCTTACAAGGTTTACAAGGGCATGTATATGGCTCACACTGTGAAATATTCACTCGACGCAGTTCACCAATTAAAACTCTAACTCGATTAACTCTCAAAATCTATTTAAAAGAACCACAACACGATCACAACCAATTACACAGGGGTGGTAGGATTGTCACAATGAAGCCATATTTAACTACTGAAGACTGAATAAGTAGGGCTGGATGTATCTACAATAAAATGACGGCTATCTCGAAAGTGAGAGGGTAAAGGTGAGAGTAAAACGTCTTCGCTAATGTAAAGGCATTGCCACTTAAGAGCAAAACAAATGTTCCAATAGGTGTGCGTACAAAATCACATCAAATCACGTGCTTACAAGGCATGAGGAGAGAATGAGTGACGACCTCACTAAGGGGCTGGCAACAAAACGCCAAAACGGTATGCAATGGCAATGCAAAACCCATCTTGAGCTAACTATAGGGCGGAGAAGGAAGGACAAACTGAAGTGCAGAACGAATCAGATGGAAAAGAGGGATAAAGCTTCAGTTATTTGAAAGTTGTAAAGCCAAGTCGAAATGACCCTAAGATGTTGAATGTTAATTATGGCACATTGCGATGGGTTGATTCACTGACATTCCATG